GCCAAAAGTAAACATTTAAAATTTGTCTACCAAGCAACCAAGGGCGTATTTTCCAGCCCCTTCTCACTTGAAGAATCCAAAAAAAGCAATAAATGTTTTGAAAAGGTATCTTAAAATTAAGACTCTCTGAGCTTTAGCTGAATCTTCTTTCAGAGTCTTAATCCATGTAGGGAATCTAGATTATCAGACTCCCTATCTCGGACACCCTCAGGTGACATGGTAAAATGCATAGTTCTTATCTCTGGGACTCCCATTCTCTCCTCCCAAGTCTATTATCCCTATTGACATATTCAGCCCTCCTTCTTTCTAGGTTTTCAGAATGTCCTGTTTTCCTTGATCAAACTACACAGTTATTTAGATGTAAAATCTCTGGAACTCTCTCCTTCCATCCCACCCTGCTTCCAAGGCTAACTTAGATTCATCTTACAGGTCTCGGGTGAAACATCACTGCCTCTGGAAAGCCTTTCTTGACCTCCCGAAAGTCCCCTTGTTATATGTTCTCAGAGCAGTTGTACTTTTCACATATTGAGTAAATTGTGTGACTAGATTTTTATGTCTGCCTTGTTCACCAGAGAGCAAGTTCCATAAAATCAGAGACCTTTACCATTGTGCTCATTACTGGTATATATGCCTAACAGAGTGCCTGGCGTAGAATCAATAAATATTTGCTGAATAATTGGATGGGCAGTTAAATCACTGAACCATTTATTATACATTCCTTCTCAACGATATCTTCATTTTTGCCCGGCTGGCGTGGCTCGGTGGTTGAGCATCGACCTAGGATCTAGGAGACTGAGGTTTGATTCCCGGTCAGGGCACATGCCCGGGTTGCAGGCTCGATGCCCAGTAGGGGGCGTGCAGGAGGCAGCCGATCAATGACTCTCATCATTGATGTTTCTATCTCTCTCTTTCCCTCTCCCTTCCTCTCTCTGAAATCAATAAAGACATATTTTAAAAAAAGAAAAAGAAACTGGAGCTGCTACAGCCAGTTCAAAAAAAAAAAGATATCTTCTTTTTTTTTTTTTAAAAAAGAATCATTTGTCAGATAGTTATTGATTTTTACTACCCTGAATCCATTTACCCTTCTTCTGGGATCCATATTATTTTTCCTTAGAAAAATACCCCACTCCTTACTCCAAACCAGGAATAGTTTACCCCAATATCACATCTCCCTGGCAACAGTGATTGGTTCAGGACAGGGCAAATGACCCAAGGCAAACCAATCAGAGCCAATGAGGCTTAATTATGCCTTTATTGAAACTGCTGAAAAAGAGGCATGTTTTCTTCCTAATGAGGTTGCTAAGAAATAGGATATGAGCTTGAAGCTGCTGGCAGCCTTCTTGCCCCTATGAGGGGAGAGGCTGTCTAAGAATGAAGCCACATAGATGAAAAGCAGTGCCAAGAGACCGAGTTCTGATGACATCATTTGAATCCTTAGATCCAGCCAAGAACTTCTGAGTTATCTGAGCCAATTAATGTTCCATGACACAAGTGTCATCTGAGCTATATGCTGTGGCTAGTCTCTTGACAAAGTGAATTCCTTATAAATAATTGCAGCCCATCTATTATTTGTAATATATTGCCATAGCCTGAATAACTTGAGAGTCATCTAGACCATTACTTGCAAAAACAGTTTTTGATGGTCTTGTTCATCTTGTCAAATATGCTAATTTAAATGTGGCAGATGAGCTATTTTAGATCTATGTTTGCTTTACTAAAATATAATACCTTCTCATTTATGTGCCACT